CTCTCACTTTCCCCCAGCGCTGCTTCTCTCACTCTCTCCCCCCACGTGCTCTCTCTCCCCCGCGTCTCTCTCTCCCCCACGTGTCTCTCTCTCGCGCTCTCTCTCCATCGCTCTCTCTCTCTCCCCCTCGCTCTCTCTCTCTCTCTGTCTCTCTCTCCCCCACCTGCTCTCTCTCTCTCCCCATCGTGTCTCTCTCTCCTGTCTCTCTCTCTCCCCATCGTGCTCTCTCTCTCCCTGCTCTCTCTCTCTCCCCATCGTGTCTCTCTCTCCCTGCTCTCTCTCTCTCCCCATCGTGCTCTCTCTCTCTCTCTCTCTCTCCTCCATCGTGTCTCTCTCTCCCCCCACGTGCTCTCTCTCTCCCCCATCGCTGTCTCTCTCTTCTCCTTCTCCCCCCATCGCTGCTCTCTCTCCCCCTCCTGCCTGCATGTAGTCTCAGGTCTCTGCTCTACTCCTCTCCCATTCGTTCTACACACTCTCTCCCTGTATCTCTCTCTCACACCTCTGTCTCTCACTCCCCTAATTCTCCCCATCGTCGTCTCTCTCTCTTAACTCCTTCTCTCTCTCCCATCGTGTCTCTCACTCCCTTCTCCTCTTCTGTCTCTCTCTCCCCTTCTCTTTCATTCACACTCTCACCCTTCTCCGCTCTCTCCCCCACCCCCCACCCCGTCTCACACTCAACTCCGCTCTCCCCTTCATTCTCTCCCCCACCCTCTCTTTCTCTCACTCACCCTTTCTTCTGTTCTCAAGTCTCTCTCCTTTCACACTCCTCTCTCTCTCTCTCTCTCTGCACACCTTACTGTCTCCACCCTCTCCAGTCCTCTCTCTCTCTCTCTCTCGCATCACACTCTCCCCACCTCTCTCGCTCTCTCTCCACATCTCACATCCTGCTCACTCTCTCACTCTACACACGCCTCTCCCGTCTCTCTCTCTCTCACCTTTCTGGCAGCGATCGCCATCGAAGCCGAGAGGACAGTCACACTGGAAGGTGTCGCACATTGGGCGACAGGAGCCGCCGTTGTGACAGGGATTTAGAGACACAGGCGTGAGGAGCGTTGACAACATTCACGCCCAACACAAAATCCTGCTGCAGCCGCGATGGCCGGTCATTCAGCTCTATCTACAGAGAGAGGGAGAGAGGGAGAGGGAGGGAGTGTGAGATAGAGAGGGAGGGAGTGTGGGAGAGAGTGGGAGAAAGTGTGTGTGCGTAAGACAGAGTGAGTGCGAGTGAGACAGAGGCAGAGTGTGAGACAGAGTGTGAGAGAGTGTGAGAGAGAGGGTACGTGAGGGTGCGAGAGTGTGAGTGCTTGAGTGTGAGCGAGTGTGAGAGTGTGAGTGCTTGAGTGTGAGCGAGTGAGAGTGTGAGTGCTTGAGTGTGAGCGAGTGTGAGAGTGTGAGTGCTTGAGTGTGAGTGCTTGAGTGAGAGTGTGAGTGCTTGAGTGTGAGCGAGTGTGAGAGTGTGAGTGCTTGAGTGTGAGCGAGTGTGAGAGTGTGAGTGCTTGAGTGTGAGAGTGTGAGTGCTTGAGTGTGAGAGTGTGAGTAGTTGGAGTGTGAGCGGGCAGTGGTGAGAGTGTGAGTGCATGTGGTGTGAGTGCTTGAGTGGGAGTGTGAGTGTTGAGTGTGAGCGGGAGTGGGTGTGAGTGTGAGTGGCATGGTGTGATGTGGTGGCAGTGTGGAGTGTGAGTGAGACAGAGTGCGAGACAGAGTGTGAGAGTGTGAGAATGAACCGCTAAGCTCCAGGGATCCACTACATTCCATCAACGGAGGAATCCTGAAGCCCTGGCACCGGGCCCTCTCCTGGCGGGGAAGGTTCGGGAACGCCGGGGCGCTCCGGGCTGACCTGATGACGGCTGTGCCGGAGCCACAGTCGAAGCGGAATTCCAGGAAGCCCCGGAGAAGGCGGAGGGAGAGGAAGTCCTTGCTCTGGGTGTCGTAGCTGTAGAGGATCAGGCCGTCAGCCCGGGCCGGCCGGAGGGCGATCAGGAACTCGGTGAAGGACAGGTAGTGACGGGCGTCCATTGGCCAGTGCAGGGCCGCGAAGGACAGCAGAGTGCCGTTAAACTCCGGCAACACCAACCGGAAACCTGCCCCGGCAAACACACAAACAACAACAACAACAACGTCACAACCTGCCTGTGCACAGCGGCCCCCTCACCCAGGGCAGTGTCCCACAGCGCTTGGCACTGCGGAGCCTGACGCCAGGCCGGGGGGGAGGTGACTGTAGACAACGGTCGAAGAGGAAGGTCCTCAGGCGCCATCTGAAGGTGGGGAAGGAAGGGGCAAAGCGGAGGGATAGAGGGGGAGTGTTCCAGAGTTTCGGGGCTTTGTAGCTGAAAGCGGAGTGCAACGGAGGGCACGAACAAATTACACTGGTATAATAATAATAATAATAATCATTGCATTTGATATAGCGCCCTATCACGTCTTCGAGACGTCTCAAAGCGCTTCACAGGATATACTGTAAAGTGAATCGACTGTATATTTGTGGGCGAAACATGGCAGCCAATTGCGCACAGCAGCGTCCCAGGAGCAACCTTCCTGACCGTGCCTTTGGTCATCGTTTCCCCCTCAGTTACCCCCTCGGTTACCACCTCCCGAGCTCAGGTGTCCATCCGCGGACTATCAGGCCTTGGGACGCCCTCCCAACTTGGAAGGAGCTGTGTGTTGCATTGGCTCCAAGAGAGATGCAATGAGTGTGATGGCCTCCAGGGGGCGGAGTACCACCCTCTCGGACCGTGGCTCACTGCAGACGGGGAAACGGCGCCACCTGCTGCTGGGATTCAATATAATAATAATAATAATAATAATAATAATAATCCTGGCATTTAGCACAGCACCTCATCACGTCGTCGCGACGTCGCAAAGCTCTTCACAGAATATACTGTAAAGTGTAGTGACTGTATGTTTTGTGGGCGAAAGGCGGCGGCCAATTGCGCACAGTAATGTCATTTCGATCTCAGAGAGATCGAAAACGCACTCAAAGGGGAGGGTCTTGAGGTGGGTCTTGAAGGTGGCGAGGGAGGGGGTGAGACGGAGGGACTGCAGGATGGAGTTCCAGAGGGTGGGGGCAGAGTGGCAGAAGGCCCGCCCGTCCGATAGTGGGCCGAGCGAGGCGGAGAATGTGAAGCAGGCCGGAGCCCGCTGAGCGGAGGAAGTGAACAGGATGGTTGGGGGTTAGGAGGTCGGAGAGGTACGAGGGAGCAAGACCATGGGGGGCTTTGAAGGTGAGGATTAGGATCTTGAACTGTATCCTCTGTGTGATGGGAAGCCAGAGGAGTTGAGGATGGGGGTGATGGGGTCACCGAGCCTGGTGTGGGTGAGGATGGGGGTGATGGGGTCGGGGAGCCTGGTGGGGGGAGGATGGGGTGATGGGGTCGGGGAGCCTGGTGGGGGTGAGGATGGGGGTGATGGGGTGGGGGAGCCTGGTGGGGGTGAGGATGGGGGTGATGGGGTCGGGGAGCCTGGTGGGGGTGAGGATGGGGGTGATGGGGTTGGGGAGCCTGGTGGGGGTGAGGATGGGGGTGATGGGGTTGGGGAGCCTGGTGGGGGTGAGGATGGGTGTGATGGGGTCGGGGAGCCTGGTGGGGGTGAGGATGGGGGTGATGGGGTGGGGGAGAGGACACGGGCTGCAGAGTTAGTTCGGGATGATCTGCAGTCTGTGGAGGGAGGAGTTGGGGGCCGACAAGGAGGGAGTTTGCATAGTGGAGTCTGGCTGTAATGGAGGTGTGTGTGAGGGTCTCGGGGGCTGCGGTGTGAGACAGTGGGGGAGTCGGGCCATGTTGCGGGGGTGGGGAAGGCAGAGCGGGTCATGGCGCAGATGTGGGGTAGAAAGGATAGTTGAGGGTCAAACCAGACCCCAAGGTTCGGGACTGGCGCAGTGAGGGGGAGTGAGCCCCAGGGATGGTGATGCTGTCAGGGCCTGAGGTGAGGAGGCGCTGACGGGAGACAATCAGGAGAACTATTGTCAAGTGGAAGTTGACCCCGTGTCTGTGGAAGATGTCACCGAGAGGGAGCGTATATTGAAGAGGAGGGGACCGAGGACAGAGCCCTGAGGAACACTGCACCAGACGGTGCGGGGGTTTGGAGGAGAAACCGTTTGAGGAGATGAAGTACAGGAGGTGTGAGAGGTACGATCTGAACCAGTCAAGGACAGCGCCGCGGAGGTTGAGGTGAGAGGAGAGGCGGTGGATGAGGATAGAGTGGTCGACGGTGTCGAAAGCAGCAGAGAGGTCAAGGAGGACGAGGAGGCAGAGGGAGCGCTGGTCACAGATGGGCACAAACAGTCATGGATTGAGGACACAGACGGGGAGCGAGATTTAACGCCTCATCTGAAGGACGAGTCTCTCTCTCTCTCTCTCTCTATCCCCCCAGCGCTGCGATGGAGCATCTGCCTCGGACTGTGAGCTCAGAGCCCCTGACGTGGGGCTCGAAGCCACAACCTCCTGACTCGGAAGCGAGAGCGAGGGATGACTCCACACAGTAATAAAGGAGAAAGTCTGGGCTGGTCGTACCTTCCTCGCAGTGTTTGCCGCGGAATCCCAGGGGACACAGGCACAGGTAGGAGTCTGCACGGTTAGCAACACACACTCCACCGTTCGAACAGGAAACCTGATGACACAACCCAGTGCTGCATTCACCTGGAGAGAGAGAGAGAGAGAGAGAGAGTGACAGAGAGAGGCAGAATGTGAGAGTGAGAGAGACAGAATGTGAGTGTGTGAGAGAGCGAGAGAGAGTGTGAGAGTGTGTGCGAGAGAGAGAGAGAGACAGACTGTGAGAGGGTGTGAGACACAGACAGAGTGTGAGAGAGAGAGAGAGACAGACGGAGTGTGAGGGAGAGAGACTGAGACACAGAATGAAAGGGTGAGTGAGAGAAACAGAGAGAGAGAGAGACAGTGAGAGAGACAGAGAGAGAAAGACACCGAGTGAGAGATAGAAACCGAGTGAGCGAGAGAGACAAAATGAGAACGAGAGACGGACAGAGAGCGAGAGACGCGCCGCACAGCGTGTGAAAACGGGAAGGGGGTGAGAGCGAAACGGAGAGTGAGAAAGAGAGAGAGAGAGAGAGAGAGACGAGAAGAGCGAGAGAAATAGTGGGTGAGGCGGAGTGAGAAAAGACCAGGGGAAAAGAGTGAGAAACAGAGCGAGTGAGGGAGAGCGAGAGAAACAGCGCAAACCAGAGCGAGTAGAAGACCGGCAGAGAGAGGGCAGACAGAGAGATACAGAGGGACGGAGAGGCAGAGGGACAGAGAAATACGTAGAGGTCCATAGTAGGAGCCGTACACCAATCAATTAAATTACTGACCTGATGCGAACAGCAATAGATCGCAAGATGGGGTCAGATGAAGACCCTTCGAACCCCCCCCGACCCCCCCCCCCCCCCACCACCCCATCACAGCATAATCCAGTCCCAGTGTCCTGGCCTCAATTTACCCCCTTCCCTCTAACCCCGTTCCACTCGTTATATAATAATGATCCTCGCGGTTCATACAGCGCCTTATCATGTCCATGAGACGTCTCACGGCGCTTCGTAGGATACACCGTAAAGTGTAGTGACTGTGTATGTTGCGGGCGAAACGCAGCAACCAATTGCGCACACAGCAGCGTCCCGCAAACATGTTTATTTTGAAGGGATTATTACACCCCCGAAAAGTGATCCGTCGATCGACTAACAACCGGGTTCCTACTGACTGCTGATAAACAGAGGCGCGTGGAGTGAGGAAACTTGGCCAACGTCTCGCCCCCCGGCCCGGAATCGAACCCGGGTCCTCTCGCTTGCGAGGCGAGGGCTCTAACCCCTGAGCTACCGGTCTCCACGGTTATCCTCTGGGTAAATTAAACCCGCCTGGTGTCGGTGACAACATAAACCGTGTCAGAGACTGACATATAATAATAATAATAATAATAATAATAATAATAATAATAATAATAATAATAATAATAATAATAATAATAATAATCCTTGCATTTGTTGCTGTTGTTGTTATCACATTGTCGCGACGTCTCTAAGTGCTTTGACTTACCCACGTCAGCCCCGCTCAGGCCTCTGCCCACAGGCCAGGGCCTCATGTCCACCCGATGCCCGTTAATCACCAGGGCCTGAGCACAGCCCTGAAGCCCACGGTTGGTACCAATCGCCCGCACCAGCCAGTAAACGCTGGGAGCCCCCCCCAGGTACAGGGGGGAGCGCAAGGTGATCTTAGTGTAGTGTCCCTGTAACACAACACGGGCCCTGTCACACACACACACACCTAAACACAGGCCCTGTCTCACACACACACCTAAACACAGGCCCTGTCACACACACACACCTAAACACAGGCCCTGTCTCACACACACACCTAAACACAGGCCCTGTCTCACACACACACACAGATCTAAACACAGGCCCTGTCACACACACACACCTAAACACAGGCCCTGTCTCACACACACACCTAAACACAGGCCCTGTCACACACACACACCTAAACACAGGCCCTGTCTCACACACACACCTAAACACAGGCCCTGTCTCACACACACACACAGATCTAAACACAGGCCCTGTCACACACACACACCTAAACACAGGCCCTGTCTCACACACACACCTAAACACAGGCCCTGTCTCACACACACACACAGATCTAAACACAGGCCCTGTCACACACACACACACAGATCTAAACACAGGCCCTGTCACACAAACAGATAGAGGCTCAGAGAGGGCCTGAATGTCCTGGGAGTTGCCAAGGGGCAGTTACCTTGGACTTGCCGGTGACGGGCGGGTCGTTGTCCAGACGTAACCAACCATTTACCCCCTCGCGCCCAAACGTCACCGTGTGCCAACGTCCCAACTGGATCTTACTCTCACTGACCAGCATAGCGGGCCCCGTGCCGCAGTTATACCTGCCAGAGAGAGAGCGAGAGAGAGAGAGAGAGACGCATCGTTGAGACATCTCAAGGGGCTTCCCAGAATATGCTGTGAAGTCTAGTGACTGTGTATTTTGTCGGTGAAACGCGGCAGCCAATTGCGCACAGCAGCGTCCCACGAACAGTCGCGGGTTGAGCGACCAATTTCTTTTTAAGGGTTTATTATCCCCGGGAAGCGATCCACTGATCGACTAACAACCGGGTACCTACTTACTGTTGGGTAAACCGAGGCGTGTGAGGTAAGGAAACTTGCCCGATGTCTCGCCCCCTGGTCCTCTCGCTTGCGAGGGGAGGGCTCTAACCCCTGAGCTACAGGACAATAGCGAGGACAAGTCAACGAGATCTTCTGACCAGGAAAAGGAGAGAGCTGGGGAACAGTGTCGTAATCACTGATAGGATTGTTAATGGAGGAATCAGGAGAGATGAGGAGGAACGGGGAGTGAGGTTACTAACACTGACAGTGACACACAGGATGGGGAGAGAGCAGGGAGAGAGACACGATGGGGAGACAGAGAGAGCAGGGAGAGAGACACGATGGGGAGACAGAGAGAGCAGGGAGAGAGACACGATGGGGAGACAGAGAGAGCAGGGAGAGAGACACGATGGGGAGACAGAGAGAGAAGGGAGAGAGAGAGACACGATGGGGAGACAGAGAGAGCAGGGAGAGAGAGAGACACGATGGGGAGACAGGGAGTGAGAGACACGATGGGGAGAGAGAGAGCAGAGAGAGAGACACGATGGGGAGACAGGGAGTGAGAGACACGATGGGGAGAGAGAGAGAGCAGGGAGAGAGAGACACGATGGGGAGAGAGAGAGAGCAGAGAGAGAGACACGATGGGGAGAGAGAGAGAGCAGGGAGAGAGAGACACGATGGAGAGAGAGAGAGCAGGGAGAGAGACACGATGGGGAGAGAGAGAGAGCAGGGAGAGAGAGACACGATGGGGAGAGAGAGAGAGCAGGGAGAGAGAGAGACACGGTGGGGAGAGAGAGAGAGCAGGGAGAGAGAGACACGATGGGGAGAGAGAGAGAGCAGGGAGAGAGAGACACGATGGGGAGAGAGAGAGAGCAGGGAGAGAGAGACACGATGGGGAGAGAGAGAGAGCAGGGAGAGAGAGACACGATGGGGAGAGAGAGAGAGCAGGGAGAGAGAGACACGATGGGGAGAGAGAGAGAGCAGGGAGAGAGAGACACGATGGAGAGAGAGCGCGGGGAGTGAGGAAACCTGCGATGTTTTACCTGAAGTGGACTCGGCGCCTGATGACGGCCAGAGAGAGAAAGTCGCCGCGGCCCAGCTCGTTCTCCCCGCAATATAACAGCAACCCATCCTCCAACTCCGTCTGGGGAGAGGGAGAGAGAGAGGGGGAGATAAAGAGAAAAATACAAGAGAGATGGAGAGAGAGAGACAGACAGAGAGAGAGAGACGGTGACAGAGAGACAGCGAGAGAGACAGAGACAGACACAGAGAAACAAAGATGGTGAGAGAGGTAGACAGAGAGAAAGAGCGAGAGAGAAGAGACGTACAGAAAGAAATAGCGAGAGCATGGGAGAGAAACAGAGAGAGTCGGAGAAAGAGAGGGACAGAGAGAGAGAAGCGGATAGAGAGAGAGACAGACGCAGAGACCAAGAGAGAGCCGGAGGGAGAGAGGGAGCGAAACAGAGAGCGAGAGGGAGAGAGAAACACAGTGACCGCAGTTCTCCCACGTACAAAAGAAAGACCAGAAGGAAGAAATAAGTTGTATTTGATTCAACTTCTGCAACATCAACACGGCTCAAAGCTTTGGACAGGGATTCACGGTGAAGTGTAGTGACTGTGTGTGTTGTGGATGAACTCGGCAGCCAATTTACACACAACGCGCAGGTTAGCGCCTCACAGCGCTTGACATTGCTGAGCATGATACTGAGCCGGTGGGGGGGGGGTGGGGGGGGGGGGGGGGGGGTGGGGGTGACCGTAAGCACAGTCGTAGAGGAACGTTTCAGGTCTCACGCAGCACATGAAGTGAACGACAATGTTATGTGACTGACTGACTAACGGACAGACAGACAGACAGACAGACAGACAGAGACAGACAGACAGATAGAGAGAGAGAGAGAGAGAGAGAGCTGGTGTTAACCTTCTCTCTTCCTCAGCCAGACTCCCCTTACCTTGAACTCGATGGTGATTTGAAATTTAAGGTAAGAGTTTTTCAGCGGCTCAAATGTCAGGTAGGAATAGCCATAGAACCGGGGATATTGTACAGGGACATCTGTGCGGAGAGAGAGAGTGAGCCGTCATTACACAATATAACACACATGTGTACAGCTCTCGGTTGGGAACTGGGTATCTGACACACGTGGAAACCCATCGAAGCACTTTGAGACGACCTGTTTTTTTTCACACAGTGAGTTGTCGGGATCCGGAATCCATTGCCTGAAAGGCTGAGGGAAGCCGACTCCATAACAAGAGGGAAGTGCATCATTATTTGGGGAGGACAAGTTTGCAGGGCTACGGGGAGAGAGCGGGGGAGTGGGGTTGATCAGGGCTACGGGGAGAGAGCGGGGGAGTGGGGTGATCAGGGCTACGGGGAGAGAGCGGGGGAGTGGGGGTGATCAGGGCTACGGGGAGAGAGCGGGGGAGTGGGGTTGATCGGGGCTACGGGGAGAGAGCGGGGGAGTGGGGTTGATCAGGGCTATGGGGAGAGAGCGGGGGAGTGGGGTTGATCAGGGCTATGGGGAGAGAGCGGGGGAGTGGGGTTGATCAGGGCTATGGGGAGAGAGCGGGGGAGTGGGGTTGATCAGGGCTATGGGGAGAGCGCGGTGGAGTCGGGTTGATCAGGGCTATGGGGAGAGAGTGGGGGAGTGGGGCTGATCAGGGCTACGGGGAGAGAGCGGGGGAGTGGGGTTGATCAGGGCTATGGGGAGAGAGCGGGGGAGTGGGGTTGATCAGGGCTATGGGGAGAGCGCGGTGGAGTCGGGTTGATCAGGGCTATGGGGAGAGAGCGGGGGAGTGGGGTTGATCGGGGCTATGGGGAGAGCGCGGGGGGAGTGGGGTTGATCGGGGCTATGGGGAGAGTGCGGGGGGAGTGGGGTTGATCGGGGCTATGGGGAGAGCGCGGGGGGAGTGGGGTTGATTTGGAAGCTCTTTTCAAAGAGCCAACACAGACACGATGGGCCGAATGGCCTCCTTCTGCGCTGTATGAATCTATGATTCTATGGTGTGAGCGGCACTGTCCTGCCCCCCCCCCACCCTTCCTGCTAACCCTGTTCCACTCGTTAATTACCCTCTGGGTAAAGAAACACTTCCTGGTGTCTGTCCTAAAATGACCCTTTACACTAAACTCTAACCCTGTGGCCTCTTGTTCTACTGTCTCAGTGTATCTGACAGCGATGATCTGGGTTTACTTTTCAATCCCATTTACACGTTTACACACCTCTATAAAGTTCTCTCCCTCCCCCACTCCAGCCCACCTTGCATTAATAATCCTTGCATTTGATATTAATATTAATAATAATAATCCTTGCATTTGATGTAGCGCTTTTCACGTCGGGAGGACGTCCCAAAGCGCTTCACAGAACACACTGTAAAGTGAATTGACCGTATATTTTGTGGGCGAAACACGGCAGCAAATTGCGCACAGCAATGTCCCACAAACAGTCGTGGATTGAGTGACCAAATTATTATTATTATTATTTTTTTGAAGGGATTATTACTCCCGGAAAGTGATCCCAATCGACTAAAAAACAGGTTCCTACTGACTGCTGGTAAACAGAGGCGTGTGGAGTAAGGAAACCTGCCCAATGTTTCGCCCCCTGCCCGGGAATCAAACCCGGGTCCTCTCGTTTGCGAGGCGAGGGCTCTAACCCCTGAGCTACAGGATTGTGTGGGTATATGTCTGGGGTGTGCCCGCACCCTGCAGGTTCTCAGTGTTGCTCTCACCATCGCTGCAGGTCTCGCCGCCCTTGCCCAGGTTACAGTGGCACCGGCAGCCTCCAGTCTCGTACTCGTTCATACAGAAGCTGTCAACAGGGCAAGTGGCCTCCTCACACTGAGTGTCCAGCACCTGCCCTGCCTCGCCCCGGGACCTGGGGGCGTCCGTCTGGATGGGGCCGGTCGTGGGGGGAGGCAGTGTGGTGGGGGGTTTCGTGGGTGCTGTTGTGGTGGTCTTGCTCTGTGTCACACTCTCCGTGGGGTTAGAGGTCATCGGAGTCTGGACTCGGAACTTCTTTCCACCCTTCAGGGCAGGAAGTGACTGAAGCTGGAAACACAAGATATTTCCATCAACAACAAATACAACTTACTCTGATTGCCATCTCCCTCTACACTGTGCGTCCACACTCCCAGGTCAGGGTTAGAGACACAGTAACGCTCCCTCTACACTGTGCGTCCACACTCCCAGGTCAGGGTTAGAGACACAGTAAAGCTCCCAACAACAACAACAAACAACAACTTGCATTAATATGGTGCCTCAGGCAGGGTAGGGTATTAGAATATAGTAATGACATGGAGTCCTGAGAACCAAAAGTTATCACGGTCTTAGACCAATGGATCAACATGTAAAACTGGGCACAATTCAAAATTCTGTGAATTTGGAAGTCAAATTTTCATAGAGACTGTCTCCAAATTCAGGTTGGAATTGAGAATATTCCGAAATAGTCCTAAATACAGCCTTAAAGACCCGCCTTCGTGTCTCACCTGAACCACGGCATCTCTGACACGCAGCTTCCTGTCCAGCATTGTGCCGGAGCATCAGCCTCGACCCTGAGCTCAGTACTTAATAATAATAATAATCCTTGCATTTGATATAACACTTTATCACGTCTTCGAGACGTCTCAAAGCGCTTCACAGAATATACTGTAAAGCGTAGTGACTGTGTATTTTGCGGGCGAAACGCAGCAGCCGATTGCACACAGCAGCGTCCCCACAAACAGCCGTGGATTGAGTGACCAAATTATTATTACTGTTGTTATTTTTTGAAGGGGTTATTATCCCTGGGAAAGCGATCCACCAATCGACTAACAACCGGGTTCCTCGTCACTGCTGGTAAACAGAGGTGTGTGGAGTAAGGAAATTTGCCCAACATTTCGCCTCCTGCCCGGGAATCGAACCCAGGTCCTCTCGCTTGTGAGACGAGGGCTCTAACCACTGAGCTGCAGGACTCCAAGCTACATGTCCCCCCTGGGTGATACCCTCACTCCACCAGGTGAGACATGAGGCCCATGGGATGGATTGAGGTTGAGTTTGGTTCCCGCTGACTGTATCGCACCTGAGCACCATCTCACCTGCTCAATGTAGATGTCGTAATCCGAATCATCAATGTCAAAGCTATCCTCGTCCCCGATCTTACTGTTCACCGTGTAACGCTGTCCATAATGTCCACTGCCTATCCCGTCAGCACCTGAGCCGGAGAGATGTGAGAACAAGTCACTGTTACAGCCTGCTTCCACCCCCCACCCCCACCCCACCACGTTAATTTCTGCCCCCAAAGCCCTCCCCACCATACACACAGATGGCAACTGTCAACCCCCAAAACACAGCCCTGGTCAACCAGGCTCAACCCAGCTCTACTCCACTATCACCACCCAACCCAGGCCAACTTAACTAGCCAACTAACCCACCCGCACACCCCCAACCAACCCAGATCAACCCAGCCCAAACCTACCCAACTCCACAGACCACAACCACCCAGTTTGTCAGGGTTTATTTGGGTTTAGCTGAGATGTTTGGGTTCTGAGGAGTTGGGTAGGTCTGGGATATAGCTTTAACATCAACCCCAGCCCCAACACCAACCCCCAGCCCCAACTCCACCCCAACCCCAGCCCCCAGCCTGAGCCCCAGGCCCCAGCCCATTGACTGATTGCCAAGCAAATCAATGAATGCCAAGATGTCAACGTGGCTGAGCTCAGTGAGAGGGCACAGGGTGAGGAGCACACTGACAGTGAGGAGGTCACGGAGTGAGTGACTAACTGAACAGTGTCACTTCAGGTTGTGATGAGGATTGATTCTGAATGAAGACAGTTGATGGAGGACAAGGTTATGAGCAGCTGCTAATTTGAGATGGGCCGAGAGACAGATCGATTCTGTGGAAATTAACTGATCGAAGTGTTAATTAACCTATTGATCCTGGACAACAACAACAAATTGATTTATATGGTGCTGCTCACGCAGGATAGGTTCTAGAGCGCTGAACAGAGGCCGAGCACGACACTGAGCTTGGGGGGAGGGGACCGTAGGTACAATTGAAGAGGAAGATCTTCAGGCGCAACTGGAAGATGGGGAAGGAAGGAGCAAGACGAAGGCATTGAGGGAATGAGTACAGAGTTTTGAGGAGTAGCGGCTGGAAGCTTGTCCACCCATGGTGGAGCGGAAGGCACGAGAGAAACAACGAACCCCAGCACAGAATAGGGTTAGAGTAGAGAGCTCCAGTGGGGGAGCGACAGACACGATGGGGAGAGAGAGAGCAGGGAATGGGGTTAGAGTAGAGAGCTCCAGTGGGGGAGTGAGCACCAGCACAGACACGATGAGGGGAGAGAGAGCAGGGAATGGGGTTAGAGTAGAGAGCTCCAGTGGGGGAGCGAACACCAGCACAGACACGATGGGGAGAGAGAGAGCAGGGAATGGGGTTAGAGTAGAGAGCTCCAGTGGGGGAGCGACAGACACGATGGGGAGAGAGAGAGCAGGGAATGGGGTTAGAGTAGAGAGCTCCAGTGGTGGAGCGACAGACACGATGGGGAGAGAGAGAGCAGGGAATGGGGTTAGAGTAGAGAGCTCCAGTGGGGGCGCGAGCACCAGCGCAGACACGATAACAGGAAGGGCGGTTGAGGCTGGGAAACTGGAAATCATTCAAGAAACAGCTGTAGTAATAATAATAATAATCCTTGCGTTTGATACAGTGCCTTATCACGTCGTTGAGACCTATCAAAGCGCTTCGCGGGATATACTGTAAAGTGCAGTGACTGTGTATCTCGTGGGCGAAACGTTAATGGGAGGAAGATCGGGTGGAGACACTGAAAGGATGGGATCAAATGGGTCGAAGGAAGGATCTTTGTCCCCTGAAACCTCTCGTTTCTGTACAAATCTGCGCAGTCGCTCAAATACAAAGGGCATCGGGGAGTGACATTCTCTGCGTAAGTCTGAAAGGGTGAATGAGCAGAGAGAGAGAGAGAGAGAGAGAGAGCGCACACTGGAGCGAGGCTGATGGATAGATGGATGGGATGAGTGGATGTCGCTGGCGATGACGACAGGTACCTGAGACCCTGTAACCGCGGGCAACATCGTACCGGAATGTTCCGCTCACCGACACCCTCCGCACAGCTTGGCATCGTCAGGGAGAAAATAATAATACGGTGATAATCCTCGCCTTCGATACGGCGCCTTATCACGTTGTTGAGACGTCTCAAAGCGCGTCACAGGATGTGCTGTAAAGTGTAGTGACTGCGTATTTTGTGGGCGAAATGCGGCAGCCGATTGCGCACAGCAGCGTCCCCATCCACAGCCGTGAACTGGAGGGATTATTGCCGCTGGAAAGCGAACCACCAATTGACTAACACCCGGGTTCCTAGTTACTGTGAGGTAAACAGAGGCGTGCTGAGTAAGGCAACTTGACTAAGGTTTCTCGTTGCCCGGGAATCGAACCCAGGTCCTCTCGCTTGTGAGGCGAGCGCTCCGACCACTGAGCTACGGGGACTTCAAGTACAGTCCCGTACAGAAAAGCTCCGGTCAGCAAAGCTGAGAGAGCAGCCGGTGACATGAAAACACCAGCCGGCTTCTCAGAACGTATAACAATAAGAATAGTCGCTGTTTATAACATCAAAAATGTAGTGACTGTGTGCGGTTTGGGGAGAGAATGTTTTTGGGAGAGAGAGAAACTCCCTTCTCTGTTCCCAACGGCACCGCAGGATCTTTAACGTCCACCAGAACAGGGCACAAGATGAGGTTTAATGTCTCGTCTGAAGGACGGCATCTCTGACAATGCGGCACTCTCTCTCTCTCTCTCTCTCGCTCTCTCTCTCGCTCCTCAGCCTGGACTGTGAGCTCAGAGTCCCTGATGCTGAGTGCGTCGGGGGGTGGGGGTGGGGGGGGGGGGCGGGGGGCTGGAACCCACAATATTCTGCCTCTTGGCAAAAGCTGAACCCCGTCTGTTAGGTAACTGGAGACAATTCAGACCAGTTTCACTGTGCTCCGCTTCCTATCTCGGCCGCAAATCAGGGTCAGAGTTCAGGATTACAGTAATAATAATCCTTTGCCTTTGATACAGCGCCTAATTGCGTCTTCGAGACGTCTCAAAGCTCTTCGCGGGATACACTGCGAAGTGGAGTGACCGCGTGTCTTGCGGGCGAAGCGCAGCGGCCAACTGCGCACGGCAGCGTCTCACAAACAGCCGCGGACGGAGCGAACTGATTATAATTCATCTTCTTGTGGAAGGGATTATGGTCCAAATTGAGTGACCAAATTATTATCATTAATTTAATTATTTCGAAGGGATTGTTACCCCCCCCAGAAAAGCGATCCCCCGATCAACTAACAACCTGGTCCCTACCGACCGCTCGCTAAACAGAGGCGTGTGGGGTAAGGAAACTTGCCCCCCTGCCCGGGAATCGGACCCAGGTCCTCTCGCTTGCGAGGCGGGGGCTCTAACCCCTGTGCTGCAGGACTCCGCAATTTTAAGCGCTGGCAAACAGACTCGTGAAGCGACGAGGCCGGGAGGCCGGTCAGTGTGAAGAGACTAATCTCTAATCCCGTCTCTGGTAATTGGACGTTAAGGAGATTTAAGGGCAAAGCAGAAGGTTGGAGCGGAGCTGCGCGTCTGTCCCTCTGTTCCTCGTGTCTCATCGACTCGTTATTTACCTCCTGTTTGTTTAATCCTTTGGGCACCGAGAGGTCCAGCGTTTGAATCAAACACACCCCGCTTTTGCCTTCTTGTGAACTGCGTTGCTTTAATCCCTGCCAAGTGTAGTGACTGTGTATTTTGCGGGCAGTCGATTTGCACACGGCAACACCCACTCATAATAATAATAATAATAATAATAATAATAATCCTTGCATTTAATACTGCGCCTCAGCTCATCTTCGAGACGTCTCAAAGCTCTTCGCAGGATACACTGTAAAGTGTAGTGACTGACTGTATTTTGTGGGCGAAACATGTCACCTTGGAGCCAGTTCAGCTCCGAGGAGACCCCACCACCCCACCCTCCCACCCTTACACCACCCCCCCCCCCCCACGTGGGCAGTGGGTGTGAGTGTGAGCTGGGCAGTGGGTGTGAGTGTGAGCTGGGCAGTGGGTGTGAGTGTGAGCTGGGCAGTGGGCGTGAGTGTGAGCTGGGCAGTGGGTGTGAGTGTGAGCTGGGCAGTGGGTGTGAGTGAGCTGGGCAGTGGGCGTGAGTGTGAGCTGGGCAGTGGGTGTGAGTGTGAGCTGGGCAGTGGGCGTGAGTGTGAGCTGGGCAGTGGGTGTGAGTGTGAGCTGGGCAGTGGGTGTGAGTGTGAGCTGGGCAGTGGATGTGAGTGTGAGCTGGGCAGTGGGTGTGAGTGTGAGCTGGGCAGTGGTGGGTGTGAGTGTGAGCTGGGCAGTGGGTGTGAGTGCGAGCTGGGCAGTGGTGGGTGTGAGTGTGAGCTGGGCAGTGGGTGTGAGTGTGAGCTGGGCAATGGGTGTGAGTGTGAGCTGGGCAGTGGGTGTGAGTGTGAGCTGGGCAGTGGATGTGAGTGTGAGCTGGGCAGTGGGTGTGAGTGTGAGCTGGGCAGTGGGTGTGAGTGTGAGTTGGGCAGTGGGTGTGAGTGTGAGTGTGAGCTGGGCAGTGGTGGGTGTGAGTGTGAGCTGGGCAGTGGGTGTGAGTGTGAGCTGGGCAGTGGGCATGAGTGAGCTGGGCAGTGGGCGTGAGTGTGAGCTGGGCAGTGGATGTGAGTGTGAGCTGGGCAGTGGGTGTGAGTGTGAGCTGGGCAGTGGGTGTGAGTGTGAGCTGGGCAGTGGGTGTGAGTGTGAGCTGGGCAGTGGGCGTGAGTGTGAGCTGGGCAGTGGGCGTGAGTGTGAGCTGGGCAGTGGGTGTGAGTGTGAGCTGGGCAGTGGGCGTGAGTGTGAGCTGGGCAGTGGGCGTGAGTGTGAGCTGGGCAGTGGGTGTGAGTGTGAGCTGGGCAGTGGGTGTGAGTGTGAGCTGGGCAGTGGGTGTGAGTGTGAGCTGGGCAGTGGGTGTGAGTGTGAGCTGGGCAGTGGGTGTGAGTGTGAGCTGGGCAGTGGGCGTGAGTGTGAGCTGGGCAGTGGGCGTGAGTGTGAGCTGGGCAGTGGGTGTGAGTGTGAGCTGGGCAGTGGGTGTGAGTGTGAGCTGGGCAGTGGGTGTGAGTGTGAGCTGGGCAGTGGGTGTGAGTGTGAGCTGGGCAGTGGGTGTGAGTGTGAGCTGGGCAGTGGGTGTGAGTGTGAGCTGGGCAGTGGGTGTGAGTGTGAGCTGGGCAGTGGGTGTGAGTGTGAGCTGGGCAGTGGGTGTGAGTGTGAGCTGGGCAGTGGGCGTGAGTGTGAGCTGGGCAGTGGGCGTGAGTGTGAGCTGGGCAGTGGGTGTGAGTGTGAGCTGGGCAGTGGTGTGAGTGTGAGCTGGGCAGTGGGTGTGAGTGTGAGCTGGGCAGTGGGTGTGAGTGTGAGCTGGGCAGTGGGTGTGAGTGTGAGCTGGGCAGTGGGTGTGAGTGTGAGCTGGGCAGTGGGTGTGAGTGTGAGCTGGGCAGTGGGTGTGAGTGTGAGCTGGGCAGTGGGTGTGAGTGTGAGCTGGGCAGTGGGTGTGAGTGTGAGCTGGGCAGTGGGTGTGAGTGTGACTTACCCAGGGTCCTGGTTGGGATGCTGGCCTCACTGGGGGGGCTCGAACCGTGTGCGTTGACGCCGAGGACCACAAAGCGGTAGCTGGTGTCCGGCTGAAGTCCCTTCAACACCATCGACTCAGCCTGGATCTGCTCCCCCATCTCCGTCCACTCCCCATCCTGGTCAGAGCTGGTGGGGAGGGGAGGGGGAGAGGGGGTATAGAAAGGGGAGATAGAGGGGAAGAGAGGCGAGAGACAGGGGAGTGGATAGGGGGAGGTGGGGAAGGGAAGAGGGAGGGATGGAGAGGGAAGGGGAGGGGAGGGGAGAGAGGGAGAGGGAGGGGTAGAAACCAGGAGAGAGAGAGTGTGTGGGGAGAGAGAGAGTGGGAAAGGAGGGGAAGGCAGGGAGAGAGAGGGAGAGGAAAGAGAAAGGGAGGGGGAGAGGAGGGAGGGAGGGGGAGAGGAGGGAGGGGGGGAAGATGGGAGAGAGAGAAAGGGGTAAAGAGAGTTTGCATTTTTATTAGGCTTCTCGTTTCTAGTAGTATTTAATAATGACTGTCCGGTTTACAGCAAATTCCCCCACACAAAGCCCCGATGTGAACCTCTATCTGCCCAGAGATTGCCGGGGGGGGGGGGGGGGACGGGGGAAGCCACCCGATTGTGAGTCAGTGGCCTTGAGTTCAGCCCCCGCCCCCCGCGCCCCCCCCCAACATCAGGGACTCCGAGACAGTCCAGGCTGATTCTCCAGCACAGCGCTGGGGAGAGAGAGACTTCATCTTTCGGGTGAGACGTTAAGGTGGGAGTCCCTCAGCTCAGTGGTTGGAGCCCTCGCCTCGCAAGCGAGAGGACCCGGGTTCGATTCCCGAGCAGGGCGAAACACTGGGCAAGTTTCCTTACTCCAAACGCCTCCGTTTACTTAGCAGGAACCCGGTTGTTAGTCGATCGGATCGCTTTCGGGGGTAATCTGGAACTCCATCCCCCAGTGCCTTCGCCGCTTCCTCCCTTTCCTCCTTCAAGGCCGGTCTCAAGACCTTTCTCTTTGATTGTGCCTTCAGCTCCCCTCTCGACTCTCTACCCCCTCCTCGCTCCCTCCCTTCCCTCCCCTCACCCTGACCATTTCCCCCCTGCTCGCTCCCTCCCTCCCTCCCCTCCCCCTGACCATTTCCCCCCTCCTCGCTCCCTCCCTTCCCTCCCCTCACCCTGACCATTTCCCCCCAATGCTCGGGTCCCGACCCAACTGTGCAGCGCCTTGGGACGTCCTCCCGACGTGAAAGGCGCTCTATAAATGGAATCTTGTTGGTGTTGTTGTAATAACGCCTCCAAAAAAATACACGGTCCATTAACTTTACGGCGTACCCTGTGAAGCGCTTTGAGACGTCTCAAAGACGTGATAAGGCGCTATATCGTATGTAAAAATTATTATTTACACGGTGTGTACACGTGACAAGGAGAGGCTGAGATCCCAGGATTAAAGAGATTAACGGTGTCAGAAGGCTGGGTCAGGAAAGCCATCCGATCCGGTTTATGGAGCAGGAAAAGGGGGCGGATTGGGATTATTGTACCCCAGGATGCTGGGCGGGGGAGGGGAGAGCGTGGGACAAAAAGTGGGGGGAGAAAGAGAGGGAAAGGGAGGGGGAAAGAGAGAGGGGGGTTGGGGGGTGAGAGGGGAGGGAAAGAATAATAATAATCCTTGAATTTGATACTGTGCCTTTTCACGTCTTTGAGACGCCTCAAAGCTCTTCACGGGATACACTGTAAAGTGTAGTGACTGTGTATTTTGTGGGCGAAACTTGGCTGCCAAGTGTAGTGAGATTTATACAGTAAAGTGCGGAAGCCGACCTGCACACAGCGACGTATTGCACACAAGGGTGAGGTGATCGGGCGATGATTGAGGAGTCCATTCCCTCACTCCCCCTCTTCATCGTTGTCACTCTTCACTAAAGTCCTCCTCACTAAGGTCAAACCCAACCTGTGGAGTCCTGCAGCTCACAAGCGAGAGGGCCCGGGTTCGATTCCCAGGGAGAGCAAAACCTTGGGCAAGTTTTCCAGGCGAGTGGGACTAGTTGGTAGCTCTATCAAAGAGCTGGCAGAGGCAGGATGGGCCGAATGGCCTCCTTCTGTGCTGTAAGTTCGATGATTCTATACAATCTTACAGCACCCTCCAAAGCAAATTTGGTCACTCAACTTCTCATGACTTTTTAGACCACTTTGCCGTCTATTCTGCGAAGCCATTTGAGACGTCTCAACGACGCGATGAGGCGCTACATCAAAGGTAAGGATTATTACTATTGACCTCCACCCACCTCCCCGATCTCCTCACTGCCCCCCTCCCTCCCGCCGGCCCACTCTCCCTCCACTTCCAAAAACTCTTAGCGAAAAGAGGCTTCGGTCATCCTCCGACCCCCACCCCCGGCTGCATCTCATAATAATAATCACAAAATAATACTCCTTCCATTTAATACAGCCCCTCATTACGTCTTCGAGATGTCTCAAAGCGCTTCACAGAATATATTGTAAAGTGAATTGACTGTATATTTGTGGGCGAAACACGGCAGCCGACTGCGCACAGCAGCGTCCCACGAACAGTCGTGACCAAATTGAGTGACCAAATTATTAGTATTAGTATTTTTTTTGAGGGATTATTACCCCCGGAAAGCGATCCGCCAATCAACTAACAACCAGGTTCCCGCGTATTGCTGGTAAACAGAGGCGTGTGGAGTAAGGAAACTTGCTCAACGTCTCGCCCCCTGCCCGGGAATCGAACCCAGGTCCTCTCGCTGGCGAAGCGAGGGCTCTAACCCCCGAGCTGCCGGACTCCATCTGTGTGTAGCCGATACAGCGCTTCGAGGACAACCTGTGTGAGACACCGTGTGAGAGGGAGCTGTTGAAGCTGTGGGAGACATCCCTGTGCGCGCGTGTGCGCGCGTGTGCGCGCGCGTGTGCGTGTGCGAGCTGATATGAAGCTGTGGTGAAGCTCGGAGTCGTTTGCATTTGACCTCTGTGCCTCACACACGAGACGCGGCTGGGAGCGAGCAAGCACACCAGTGACGTTGTTTTAATGAGTGTGTCTGTCTGCCGTACGCTCTGTCACAGCGCTGCCTGAGGCTGTGTTGCTGTGTATTAAACACAGGCTCAGTGTGCGCTGGCCCGGGCCGGGCTGGACTCACTGCCGGCTTCCTGTGTGGGATTCAGATTGGCTGCTTCCTGCCGAGGTTCCTCGGCAGGTCAGTGTTTTTAACCCCCTCTTCCCCGTCACCGCGTAACGCTGCCTAAAACCTTCCTCCATCCGAGGGTTCCTCTACTGTACACACAGTCACTACACTTTCCCTGTAACTCACTGGCAAGCACTTTGAGACGTCCTCCTGTACACTGGGTGAGGGACATTGGGCCCCTCCGGTCTGAACTGGCCCCAAGGTGACATGTTTGGCAAAGGAACGTCAGAATCAGCCCTCCCCCCTCTGTGATGGTTTCTAGTCCCGGTTCCTGAGCCGGGAGGGTCCACAGTATCCCAGGGCTCTCACTGCTGATGGCAGTACAGTCCGGCCCATCGGCAGGACCTGGAAGGGCCGACCAGTCACTGGGGAATCCTCCCCCTCAGCTCCCGTTACCCCCGCAGCCAAAGCCCTAACTAACGGGGAGGGTGGTCCTCGCTGGACAGGCAGCGGGAAAGCTGGTCAGACAGTGATCTCAATGACAAAGAGAGTCTGAGACAGAGTGAACATCTCCCAGGGGTTTGCAACTCACTTACACAGCGCGTCTCACAGTGAGTGTCTCACAGCTTCACAACAGCTCCCTCTTACACAGCGTCTCACACACAGCGTCTCACACACAGCGTCTCACACACAGCGTCTCACACACACAGCGTCTCACACACACAGCGTCTCACACACACAGCGTCTCACACACACAGCGTCTCACACACACAGCGTCTCACACACACAGCGTCTCACACACAGCGTCTCACACACACAGCATCTCACACACACAGCGTCACACACACACAGCGTCTCACACACAGCGTCTCACACACACAGCGTCTCACACACAGCGTCTCACACACACAGCGTCTCACACACACAGCGTCTCACACACACAGCGTCTCACACACACAGCGTCTCACACACACAGCGTCTCACACAGGGGGGTGAGATGGGGGGACATTGGGAATTAGATTCCAGAGAGTGAGGATCAGTGGCTGAAAGCTCAGCTGCCGATGGTGGGATGGGGTTTGGGGGGGAGGGGAAGAATATCTTTTTGAGGCGGGAGGAATTACTGATCGCTTCCCAAAAGATTGGCTGTCAAGACCATGTTTACAGGCGTCTCTGACAATGCAGGGCTTATTCCCCCAGCGAGGGGCTGGGGCATCATGTCAGCCTGAACTGTGAGCTCAAAGCCCCCGACGTGGGCAAGGTGGGGGAGGGGAGATGGGGGTTCGAACTCACGACCTCCAGACCCCCAGGCAAGACGCGGAGGCTGGCCCCATTAACAAGAAGCCAGTCTGTATAACAGGACGCTTTTGAAGGGGGGAGAGAGAGAGAGAGAGTGGGGGGGGGGGGGGGGGGGGAGGGAAGGAGAGAGTCCGGGGGGGGGGGAAATACAATGAACAAGCCTGTAATTGTCCAAGGCTCAGAAGCTTCTGTGGCCCTGATTGACCTGTGTAACAGAGCTCCGATGGAAATGGGGCTCCTTTCATGTGTTTTGACCAAAAATAGCCCCCTCGTGAGAGGCACTATTGTTCCCCTCCCCACCCCACCCCCCCACCACGTGCGCACACACACACACACACACCCCTTGAGGGATATTACATATTAACTGGGTATCCAGGAAAATGGGGTAACGAATTGGAGTTGAGGTACAGATCAGCCATGATCTAATAGCATGGACGAACAGGCTCGTGGGGCTGAATGGCCTCCTCCTGTTCCCATGCCTCCCTTTGCTGAGGGAAAATATGTGTGACTTGTGACCCAAGGATTTCCCTGAATCACCATTCCCCGCTTAGCCTCAGAAACCCTCCCGCTGGTTAGACCACAGTGAGAGGACCGTGGCCATTTTGGGGTCTCCCCTCTCTTTGGGAAGGACGTCGGAGGGTGAGAGGAGATATCCTGGGTCACCATCAACAACAACCCATCAGATGGGCCTTGAAGGAGGAGAGGGAGGGAGCAATGCGAAGGGACTGTGGGATGGAGTTTGAGAGTCAGGGACTGGTCAGGGACCAGAGGGCATCCATTTAGGATAAATACCAGGGGAATAATGGGGGAGATATTAGGAGAAATTTTTACAGAGTTTATAATAATAATAATCCTTGCATTTGATACAGCGCCTTATCACGCCTTCGAGACGTCTCAAAGTGCACAACAGCATCCCACAAACGGCCATGGACTGGAGTGGTCAAATTATTATTATTTTCTTTATTATTTATTTGTTTTGCTTGAAAGGGATTATTATCCCCAGAAAAGCGATCCACCAATCGACTGACAAGCGAGCTCCTACTTCCTCCGAGGTAAACAGAGGCGTGTGGAGTAAGGAAACTTGCCCGATGTCTCGCCCTGCCCCGGAATCCAACCCAGGTCCTCTCGCTTGGCAGTTACCACTCTTATTGTTAAGGTTAGGAGCTGATGGGAGGGAACAGGGTGTGGAGGAAACACTCGTGGAGTCCTGTAGCTCAGTGGTTAGAGCACTCGCTTTGCAAGTGAGAGACCTGAGTTCAATTCCAGGCAGAGGGCCAAACCTTGGGCAAGTTTCCTTACTCCACACAGAGCCTAATAATAATCCTCCAAAACCCAAAACAATAATAAATTGGTCATTTTCAATCTACGACTGTTTGTGGGACATTGCTGTGCGCAATTGGCTGCCGCGTTCGCCCACAAATATACAGTCAATTCACTTTACAGTGTGTTCTGTGAAGCGATTTGGGACGTCCTCCAGACGTGAAAAGCGCTATATCAAATGCAAGGATTATTATTATTATTATTATTATTATAGTTCTTTATTACAACAAAGGCTGCTTTCTCAAAGACTGGTTTAAATAACGTTCTTGTTTAAAAGGTGCGATTGTTCCCTTGTTAACTAAACCAAATCAAACAGAACAGAACAGGACAGCTCTCTCGTTTCAATTCGGACCAATTCTCTCTCTCTCTCTCTCTCTCTCTCTCTCTCTTTCTCTCTCACTAAAATAGGATATTCACTCACTTTGATCAATCCCAACCTGCGCAAGTTAACTCTACTGTTTCCCCCAAGTGTGTATGGTTCAAGATGGTAGGTCGAGACAGCATTAAAGTTCACAAATAATGGCAGAATGTATCTTTCTCCAACTCAACTCTTGAGCTCTCAACTCTTTCCCTTTCAGGAGACTTGTCAATGAAAGGCAGAGAGTTGAGGGCGCAGCTGGAGAAGAGTTCATTCATCTCGTTTGTAGCAGCGATGGATAGACCTGTGGTCTTGTGGCAAACTGCTCAGTCAGACAGAGAACCGTTCAAGTCTCTGAGATCTATTGCTCTCAAAGCCTCCGCCAACATCAAATCCACTGCCACAAAACCTTAGGACTTCCATCTTGCTCCAGGGGTTGTCCTACTTGGCCGACTGTAACTGTCCCCCTCGTTCTTCAGTCCTTCCACTGTCCTGCAAATGCTTACGGAAACTTCTCTGACTCAACGTGACCGAACAGGGTTAGGTGTGGAGGAAAACTTTTGTTGCAAGGGCACAGTTGGCCTGAACTACTCAGTTTATTGGGAGAGTCAATGGCTCGGTTCATCCTAACCAGCGCAGGAGGCCTGAGCGGCCAAGCCAACGCTTGCGACCACCATCCGTACCCTTTTTCGTGAAGTCTTCCGGACGATTCTCCTCGAAAAACTCCGTGCAACCAAAGCCTTATCATTTCGTTGAGACGCCTCAAAGCGCTTCAGGGAATATACACACAGAGTATACGTGAATTGACTGCGTATTTTGTGGGCGAAACGCGGCAGCCAATTGCGCACAGTATTGTCCCATAAACAGACGTGGTGTTGAGTGGTCAAATTTTTTCTCTGAGGGATTATTACCTCCGGAAAGCGATCCGCCCATCAACTAACACGCGTCAGTCTCTCACACTGGATGTCGGTCAGTCTTGTACTCACCGAGTGTAATTCACTGTGTAGTACAGTAATGGCGAGCTCCCTGGGCTGGCTCCTGGTCGCCAGGCCAACGCCACCTCCACGTCAGACATGGCCACGGCCTCGGGACGCGAGGGGGGGTCAGGCGGGCGGCAGTGATCTGTGAACACACCGGGAAGGAGGCCATTTTACTCGGGGCCTGAAACGCTGGTCCTTCAGGCGAATACCACGGAACCCTCAGCCGCCTTCTGACCTCCCAGCAGCAAAGGTCCATCAACAACAACAACAACAACAACATCACCATCAACAACAACAATATCACCATCAACAACATCAACAACAACATCACCATCAACAACAACACCATCAACAACAACATCACCATCAACAACAACAATATCACCATCAACAACAACAACAACAACATCACCATCAACAACAACAATATCACCATCAACAACATCAACAACAACATCACCATCAACAACAACAACATCACCATCAACAACAACATCACCATCAACAACAACAACATCACCATCAACAACAACAATATCACCATCAACAACATCAACAACAACATCACCATCAACAACAACAACATCACCATCAACAACAACAACAATATCACCATCAACAACATCAACAACAACATCACCATCAACAACAACAACATCACCATCAACAACAACATCACCATCAACAACAACATCACCATCAACAACAACAACATCACCATCAACAACAACAACATCACCATCAACAGCATCAACAACAACATCACCATCAACAACAACATCACCATCAACAACAACATCACCATCAACAACAACAACATCACCATCAACAGCATCAACAACAACATCAACATCAACAACAACAACATCACCATCAACAACAACAACATCACCATCAACAACAACATCACCATCAACAACAACATCACCATCAACAACAACATCACCATCAACAATATCAACAACAACATCACCATCAACAATATCAACAACAACATCACCATCAACAACAACAACATCACCATCAACAACAACATCACCATCAACAACAACAACATCACCATCAACAACAACAACATCACCAACAATATCAACATCACTGTCAACAACATCAACATCAAAATCATCAACATAAACAACATCATCAACAACAACATCAACAATAACAACATAAACAACAACATCAACAACAACAACATCAATACCAACAACACCAACCGCATTTATAATATAAACCATGCGATACAGCGTTCATTGCTTCGTCGAGACATCTCAAAGCGCTTCACAGAATGTACCGTAGAGTGCAGTGATTGTGTATTTCGTGAGCGAAATTTACACAGCGCCTTTCATGTCGAGAGGACATCCCAAGACGCTGGAGAGTGAACACCCAAGTTGGGGCCGGAAACCCTTCTTGTAAACAGCAGCAGCTGTAGCTCCTCAAAGGCACTTCACAGGGAATTACTGTAATCTATACACAGCGACGTCCCACACACAGCCATGACATGAACCAGCGGTTTTATCTGCGGGGATTGTTGCCCAGGACACGGGGGGAGAGAGAGACAGAGAGAGAGAGAGAGAGAGAAATCCCTCTCTCTGTTCCCGACAGGGTTGCGGGATCTTTAATGTCCACCTGAACAGGGACAGACGGGGAGTGGGGTTTAACGTCTCATCTGAAGGACGGCATCTATGATGATGCGTCTCTTCCTTTTTCTCTCTCTCTCTCCCCGCGCTCCCCTCCCCCCCTCCCAGCGCTGAGCTGGTGCGTCGGAGTCTGGACTTCGAGCTGATTCTGGACACGTCGTGGGGACCCGAACCCACAACCTCCTGACCCAAAGGCGAGCGAGGCAGAGGCTGGAGCCGGGCTGACAACAAAATGGCAATGCAGTGGCTGGTGATGATGGTGATGGTGAAGGTGGTACCCACCTTTAGTCACCGTGGTTACGTCCCTCGTGGGGCTGGGACGCCCGTCCCCCGCCCGCACCATCACACGGTATCTGGTGCCCGGCTTCAGACCAGCGACAATCAGCTCCTGCCAGACAGGCAACAGAGAGAGTCAGTGCCAGGCAACAGGCAACAGAGAGAGTCAGTGCCAGGCAGCGGGCAACAGAGAGAGTCAGTGCCAGGCAACAGGCAACAGAGAGAGTCAGTGCCAGGCAGCGGGCAACAGAGAGAGTCAATGCCAGGCAGCGGGCAACAGAGAGAGTCAGTGCCAGGCGGCGGGCAACAGAGAGAGTCAGTGCCAGGCAACAGGCAACAGAGAGAGTCAGTGCCAGGCAGCGGGCAACAGAGAGAGTCAATGCCAGGCAGCGGGCAACAGAGAGAGTCAGTGCCAGGCAGCGGGCAACAGAGAGAGTCAATGCCAGGCGGCGGGCAACAGAGAGAGTCAATGCCAGGTAACAGGCAACAGAGAGAGTCAATGCCAGGCAGCGGGCAAGAGAGTCAGTGCCAGGCAACGGAGAGTGTAAACTATCTATAATTCTAATGACAGGAAACACTTGAATACAGAGAGATACACACACAGAAACACACACACACACACACAAGTAGAAAGGGTCACACATACAGAGAGAGACAGAGAGCGAGAGAGACAGAGAGACACACACATACACACAGAGAGACACAGAGAGAGAGAGAGAGAGACAAACATACGTACACAGAGAGAGACAAAGAGAGACACATATACCCAGAGAGAGACAGCGAGAGAGAGACACATAAATACATACATACATATATACATACACACACACACACACACATAAATACATACATACATACATACATACATACATACATACATACATACATACATACATACATACATACATATATACATACATACATATATACATACATACATACATACATACATAGAGGGACAGAGAGACACACACATATACAGAGAGAGACAGAAAGAGACACCCACACATACACACACGCACACACACACACAGAGACACACAAACACAGAGAGACACATACAAACACACAAACACACACACACACACAGAGACAGAAAGAGAGAAGCGACACAGACAGAAAGACACACACAAACACAAACACAACGGAAGATATACATGAGAAACAGAGAGAGAGGGGGGGAGAGGGACAGAGAGAGGCTCCCCCCACCCTGACGCTGAGGCTGTGACCTGTTGTGTAGTGTGCGAGAGCCACATGGAGACGGGAGCCACTGAACCCGAGATATTAATAATTAGAATGAAAAGAAAATGGGTTCTGTCCTTCCACTGACAGCCACTCGCTCACTCGCTCGCTCGCTCACTCACTCGCTCACTCACTCGCTCGCTCACTCACTGGCTCGCTCACTCACTGGCTCGCTCACTCACTGGCTCGCTCACTCACTCGTTCGCTCACTCACTCACTCGCTCGCTCTGTGGGCAAACACGTGGCAACCAGTTGATTAAGTTTGAGCTGTAACAACACGTCTGGCACATGTTGTTAAGAGTATCCAAACCACCTACATGTCCGTGCATCCCAGAGTGAAATAATAATAATTATAATAATAAGAAAAATAGTTTTATTAACTGCACCAGTTGCACTGATGATTATTGGAACTCTGTTTGTTTTCCACCGGCACACACGGCTGCGTTCAATTTATATTTTCTGATTTTCTCCAGTTCCTTATCTTTCACATTGTAATCACTTGAGATAATAACCGCATCAATAACACCACATGTACAATCTATTTGATTCTTTATTGTAGTACCTGATCTGTTACAGATTATTGTCCTGTCTGTTTGCATTTGTGAATCCCAGGTTATTGTGGTGTTGTTTCTCAATGGCACTTTTACTGATAGAAAAATAATAATAATCCTCGCATTTGATACGCGCCTTATCACGTCGTTCAGACGTCTCAAAGCGCTTCACAGAATGTACTGTAAAGTAAATTGACTGTATATTTTGTGGGCGAAACGCGGCAGCCAATTGCGCACAGCAGCGTCCCCACAAACAGTCGCGGATTGAGTGACCAAATAATTATGATTTTACATATACCGTATGCATTATTATTATTATCAGCCTGTTTCTCACAATGGGGAAGATGTGAGGTAGAGACAGCGAGACACCGTGAAGTGACTGTGTAGGTGGTGTAGATTGTGGTGGTGGTGGTGGGGTGAGGGGTTGGGAGTGCGATCTCTTGACACTGGAGCCCCCCTATGTCCCTCACTCGCTGTGGGGAGGGTTTGACTTGCTGACCACAGACTGCAGATGAACTTGAACTCGAATTGTTTGTGTTTTTGTCCTGACAGAAGCATCTGAGCGGAGCCGAGGAGTTTGTAAGTATTGTGTGAAATACTACGTAAGATCATAAGGATTTGCAGGCGAACGAAGCCCAAGGTCCATCTCGTTCACCTGCCACCATCCTGGCAGTCTCCTGACATGACGTGCCCCAAACTATACACTGTACCCCCAGATAATACTTAGATATTGCCTCAGCCTCACACCAACACTGATGGCTCAGTTACATCCACACTCACACACACCCACACAAACACCCGCACACCCACACACAAATCCACCCACAGACACACACACACACACACACAGCCACGCGTTCCCAGCAACTCCCCCACCCTCCCAGGTCAGCCTGAGGCTCGACCTCTTGCTCTCTCACCTCCTGGGTCAGGAGGATCTGGGTTCGAGCCCCACGTATCGGGGTCTCCGAGCTCGCAGTCCACATTTCGACCATAAAACACACAGTCACTACACTTTACAGCAAACCTTATGAATCGCTCTGAAAGGTGCTGGGACAAATGTGAAGGTATTATTCTGCTCTGGTCCTCTGTCCTGCACTAATCCTGGCACACTGTGCACAATTGGCTGCCGCAAAATACACAGTTAATTCACTTTACAGCATATTCAGTGATGGGATTTGAGATGTGATAAGTGTGTCAGTGTGGCTGTGTGTGTTGGTGTCTGCGTGTGCGTAGCTGTGTGTGTTGTATGTCAGTGTGTGTGTGGCTGTGTGTGTTGTGTGTCTGTGTGACTCTGTGTGTTTCTTCTCTGAGGTGTTGACACAAACCACCGCCTGGTGATGGGGACGGTGGGAGAATCGGTGATGTTGCTTTGCCCACTGCCCTCTAATGGCCCTAAATATAAACTTGTCAACGTCACGTGGGTGAGGAAGGAGCCGTACAGCCACCTGGTGACCTTCAGACAGGAGGGTGGTTCCTGGAATAGGACGGAGGGTGATGAGCGGTGTGAGCTGAGGGGGAGCGCGGCTGATGGGAACATCACACTGACAGTGAGCCGCCTGGTAACAGAGGACAACGGCACCCACCTGTGTCTCGTGGAGGCTGAGAAGGAGAACAAGAGACTCGTGATCCAGCGGGAGATCAGGCTCCAGGTTCAGAGCTCTCCAGGTAAGATCCCTCTGTCCACATCCCTGACCCCACAATATCAAAACAGCCTTTACACCATGGGGAGAGAGCAGGGAATGGGGTTAGAGTAGAGAGCTCCAGTGGGGGAGTGAGCACCAGCACAGACACGATGGGGAGAGAGCAGGGAATGGGGTTAGAGTAGAGAGCTCCAGTGGGGGAGTGAGCACCAGCACAGACACGATGGGGAGATAGAGAGCAGGGAATGGGGTTAGAGTAGAGAGCTCCAGTGGGGGAGTGATGGGGAAAGTTTCTTGGTAACAGTAACCCAGTGTTTTTTGAGCACCTGTTCAACATCACGGTCAGGCTTTTACTCCGGAGAGTTGTTTAAATGGCCGTGTGAATCGCTCACTGTCATTCAAATCACAGTTCTGGTGTCGATAATTCAACAACAACAACAAAAATTGATAACAATAACATTAATAATAATTCTTGCATTTGATGCAGCATCGCATCACATCACTGAAACATCTCAAAGCGCATCGTAATATATTGTAATTTGGATTTACTGTTTATTTTGTGGCCGAACACAGCAGCCAATTGCGCACAGCAATTTAACAAAATGTTAAGTAATTATTACCCCCGGAAAGTGATCCACCAATTGACTATCAACCACTTTAATAATAATAATCCTTGCATTTTGATATAGCGCTTTTCACGTCGGGAGGACGTCCCAAAGCGCTTCACAGAACACACTGTAAAGTGAATTGACTGTATATTTGTAGGCGAACGCGGCAGCCAATTGCGCACAGCAATGTCCCACAAACAGTCGTGGGTTGAAAATGACCAATTTATTATTGTTTTGGGTTTTGGAGGGATTATTATTAGGCTCTGTGTGGAGTAAGGAAACTTGCCCAAGGTTTCGCCCTCTGCCTGGAATTGAACTCAGGTCTCTCACTTGCAAAGCGAGTGCTCTAACCACTGAGCTACAGGACTCCACTTTCCTGCTTACTGCTGGTAAACAGTGCAGTAAGGAAACTTGCCTAAGGTTTTCCCCCACCCGGGAACCAGACCCTGGTCATCTCCCTTGTGAGCCCAGTGCTAATCACTAACTGTAGGGCCTCACATTATGTTTATGTTGTCGGAAAATCCTGAGAGAAGAGAGGTGTCAGGTGGTGTGTGGAGGCTTTGGAAGGAGATGGTTTGAGTCGGGGCTGTGTTTCTTTTTCTGTCAACAACAACAACAAAATGACATGTGTAAAGCGCCTTTCACATCCCAAGTCGCTGGACAGTCAGAGTTTCTGACCCGAGCAGGGGGTCAGGATCGGGGAGGGGCAGGGCAGGGGGGAAGCAGGTTGATCGAAAGCACCGTCAAAGAGGTGGGTCTTGAGATGGGTATTGAAGGAGGCAACAAAGCGGAGGGACTGAGGGATGGAGTTCCAGAAGGTGGGGTTTAGAGTGGTGGAAGGACCACACGCCAATACGCCAATAGTGGGGTGAGAGAGGCGAGGGACGTGAATCAGGCCGGAGCCCGCTGAGGGGAGAGAGTGAGCAGGATTGTAGGGGGGAGCAAGACCATGGAGGGTCTTGAAGACAAGGACCAGGATCTTGAACTGTATCCTCTGTGTGATGGGAAGCTAGTGGAGTTGGGGGAGGATGGGGGTGATAGGGTCA